ATGCATACTACAATGACACTAACCACTGAAGCACGAAGCTTTTGGATATCAGATCTTAAAAGTGCCTTTCTGCTCCGCTCCAGGCTCAGAATGTGGTAGCAAAGCACTCATCTACTCTAAAGGGTGTAGCGAGAGAAAAAGGTGGTGATCCCGTGTCCTCTTACATTATAAATATTGTAGAGCCCCCTGTGAGGCAAAGGCGTTCTCTGCTGCAGCCTCAGGTCTCCGCTGATGAACAGCTTAGCTCCGGGGACAGAAGAGGAGTGCTGCATGTATGCCAGACTCTGCATCACCACGGTGGACATCCGCTGGGAAAACAACAACAACAACAAATATTACGCTCTGCTTTAGCTGAACCACCAGCCGTAGATGGTCCTGAAAACCCTGCTTTGGTGCTGTCACACTGAAGGCCACATTTTATTATTTACAGCACTTTGAAATACCTGTTATTAAATAGGTAATATTTATTACCTGTCTGGAAAAATGTGTTTACACATGTAATAATTGGGGCCCAAACACTAAAAGTGTGAAGGTTATTGTATCTGCTCTGTTGTTTATCAATATTCAGGCAAATGAATCGCCTATTTGAGGCTCAAAAACTTCTTTTTGAGCCTCAAATAGTGCATACGCCTCAGATCTGCTGAAAATTTACATAAAATCTACATATTTTACCGATTTAGCGTTTCAAAACGGCTCTAGAGCGCCACCAATGCTGGCTATTAAGAAGTATTACAGACACATAGCTGAGCTACATGAGTCAAATTTGGTAAACATGTATAACATGAGACAAACAAAAAGTCTCGTGGCCCATTGACCTAAACCTAACAGGAAGTCAGCCATTTTTAATTTAAAGTGGAATTTTGCGGCAATTTCGTCCATTTTCAGGCCTCGTACGTTAGCTAACTCCTCCTAGGGTTTTTATCAGATCTACATGAGCTTTGGTGAGTACAATCTAAAGGCTTCAGTGATGTTAAATTGCAAAGCTTTTGAATTTTCACGAAAAGGCGTGGTCCTGGCGGCACGCTAATTTTCACTCATTCGCCACAGGACACGACATTGTCAAATCTCAGCTAAACATCGTCCAGTATGTCCCCAAACTTCACAGCCTCGATGCGAGTCTAGAGACATCTGTGTGCCAATATTAGGTCACACTTATGGCGCCACCTAGTGGAGACAGGAAATACACAGTAGGTTATTTCCCGTCTTCACTTGTGGTTCAACGTCTGATATGCTTCAGAGATCTTTAGATGGTATTCTCCATCGCCACCTAGTGGGCATAGGTGTCCAGCATGGCTCAACCGCAGCGCACCTGGATATATGCCAGGGTGCGGGGGCCCTCTCGTCGCTGCTTGCAGCTTTAATTCTATTTTTAGCAGGCAGAGTGAGAGAAATATTGACATTTAAAACTGCTTAAAAGGCTTTTAAAAAATCCCCAAAGCTACTAAAACTGATAAAAATCACGTGGTTATCTGTGCCTTTTAGCTCCAGCCCCACCATTACCTCACAAGTTTTATCACGTTTCATAACATTAGTTTCGTAAGTGAAAGAAATAAACTTTTTATGGCTCCTTCTCAGGTTTAAAGTTAGTAGAAAGCCTTGTCTGATTAAAAGGTGGAGAAGGACCTTTCCTACAGAGGAAAGGTCAAACCTAAACTATCTAAAGTCAGTAACGTGGACCTCTTGGCCATCTTATTGCTGTTGGTGCCTTTTTGGAGCATCTTTAGTGGTGAACCATGTTATTTGTGGCCCAATGTGCAACCTTTAATTTGCACTAACTAGCTTAACAGATTCATGGAGTGTCTGTGCGAGTGGGTAATGCTGTGGGATACATACAAAGAGCTGGTAGCTGAAGGTGAGCAGCAGCTGAATGCTGTACACCTGCTCATTGGGTTTCAGAGGAAGCTGCAGCTGAAAGACCAGGAGGTCCAGTTTCCCATCCTGGTTCTGGTCCTCTTCTCTCACCTGCAAAGTGCAGTCACAGAAGAACAAAGCAGACTCTACTGTTATTAAAAGTAAAAAAAATCATATCTGTCCACTGTTCAGTATAAACAGTAACAAACATGATGTTTATTATGCAGGAACGGACACTTTTTTAAACCAGGGCTCGCTACTTAATACGTTTTCCAGCTTTTCAATGACAGTAAACTCAAACTGCTCACTGAGCAACTGGACTACAAGGAAAAATAACATAATTGACATTTCTAATGTATTACACAGTGAAATCATTAATTATTGTATGAAATAAGAAAATTAAAGTAATTGCCATGTGAGGCCTTTCAGTACTTTTGTGATGGTACAATGCAGACTTACCTAATGTTTTTGTACATTTATTACAAGTTCGTATTGGAGCTGAAAAATATTAAACCAATACATAAATGCCAAAATCTGCAGCTATTCTATACTGACTGATTTTGTGAGGCAGTTTTGTATCAACATGGGGACACCAAATATTAATATTGCATTAAATAAATTTAATAATCACTAAAAACAAGAACAAGAAGCTGCATCTCATGCACCACCATCCTGAGATAAACGAGCAAAATTTACATTTAACTGGCCCACCTGAAAAACATTGCTTCACTGAGTACATTCGCCTTAACAAAGCTGCCTCCTAATTCAAAGCAAGCTAACGGCTCAGCCACATAAACGAAATTCAACAGCAACCTTGTGACATTGACAAAAACTCCCCACAGCACTAAATGGGAGTCTATGGAGACTTCCTTACTCTTTGAGAAGGCCCCAAAAGGGAATCAGGGGAACTGCATGTTCATTTCTCAGCCCCATAAGTTGCTGCTTGGGTCCTACTGATGAAAAACCACTAGGGGTGGTCGAAAAAATCGATACTGTGTAGTATCGTGATATTTTGTTTGCTAATAATGTATCGATACAGGGACA